AAGTTTTATAAATTGAACGTAATCTTTTGACAATATTCTATGTACTTAATGAAAGAATTTTGAGTAAATTTGTTATAAACGTCAAAGAAACTCCTTGTAATCCTTGCAGTACACATATGTGCGCGGGGGAGGGGCTCCGCTCCGCACCCCCTCCCCAAAAAAACTAACCCTAACCTAACCTAACTTAACCTATCTATTGAAATATGCTAAATTATACATTCTTATGTTGTTTTTCCTTTAGGTTAGGTTAGGGTTAGGTTAGTCTTTTAGGGGAGGAGGTGCGGGGGGAGAGGCTCCGCCCCTCCCCCCGTGCATATACGTATACTTTTTTCTTTTACGAACTTTTCACATAATTACTTCTATATCCAACAAATCTGTTGCACTTATGTAACTTCTTTGCATAACTTTTTGATAAACAATGAGCAACGGCTAATATATAATATAACAATAGTAAGAAAATTAATAATGAATATCGAGCACAACGAAGCGCGCGAAACATATAAGCGTGCCAAAGACTGGTCTTTTCTGATTCCAGATCATCATTATAAAACTTGCTACCGCTGTTACTTCTCACGTCCAATGGAGTTATAAAAATTGGAGTTATAAAAATGTCAAGGTTCATACTCTATAAACACATATCTTCTATTATACATTATCTTACATACATACACACACTGCATGTGTGTATGTATGTATGTATGATACAAGATATGTATATGTATAATAAGTTAAATAAATATGTATAAAGTTTAAAGTCTTTATCACTGTTTTTCTCAGAAGCTATTACTTCTATAGTAAAAATGCATAAAACATAAAATCTATATTTTGAAGAGACTTACAACTTTTACTTGAAACATTTTTTTTAAATTTCCAGTATTTGATAAAATAATTGATAAAAATGTTAATTTTTAATTTTTGTTAATAATTTTTTAATGAGGAACGAGCGACGGGAAAAGTTTATGACTTTGACATCCTTAAGGGTCAAGGTTAACATCAAGGTCAACCGGAGGTCATTTCACGCGGACTGTGTAAAGGTGAATATTTATCATACGCTGCAGCACAGATGATTTCTTTGCGAGGAACATCGGATTAACGGATAATTGATAGCGGAAACTGACGGTACGTTTCGTTCCGGGTAACGCGGGCGAATTTCGCTCGGTTTACTTTTACACGACTTCCTCGCCTCGCGCGCGCGCGCGCGCGCGCGCGCCCGCGTGCGATCGATAGAGCAATGAAACGAGGATATTCCGATTCGCGAGAATTTCACATTGTTCTTCGTTCGGAAATGCCAGGATATATATCTGCGAAGGGCTCGTTCGCGCGCGATCGCTTAGGCTTCTACGCTTAGGCCGCTACGCGACGAAGTCGACGTGTCATTCTCCGACGGGATTACAGTCGAGCGCGCACGCGTCTCGATCCTGCGGCTCATCGTGAGCATCAGCCGAGTTTTATTAATCGGCCGGGGCACTCTCCTTGGTCTCGCTGTTTGTGACACGCTGTAAACTAAACTATGTGACACGCGTTATGTCCTGGCGGAGCGTCATTGTCACCATCGCCAGCAGTTACTGTACCGACTGCTGTCCGTCGCCGTGAAGACAATAGCGCGGCGAGGTACAATGTATGGCGACGATACAGAATAGAGCTTGCGAGACGCACAAAAGCCAGGCGAACCTGTACTCGTTTAAAACGCTTACGTCGATCTCCACGCCCGATTCCCTACTTCGCTGCCGCTCCTGCTGCAGCCCCGTTCTCACTCCCTTTCGGAACGCGACTTGCATCCACCCCTGCGACGTGGTACACTATTCCCTATCACAGACATCTATACTGTGCTAGATCGAGAGGCTCGGCTCCCTAGACGCCCCAGACGCTTCGGTATGCACAGGGTGTCCGGTATGCAACTTGTGTTACGTAACCGAGGAAACTCGCGCCGTTTTAATCAACAGAGATACATAATGAGTTTCCGTAATAAGCGTTTTACACCGGTAAATTCTCTGTTAAATAAGCTTTTGCTCGAGCATACATAATCACACTTTTAATTGATAGCGTGCGCACATGCGCAGTTTGACAATGACAGAACCCAGAAACGGCCACGAACTTTCTTGGTCATCATTTTTGAGATGTTAATTACAGGAAATCGGCAAATGAATAGTGGAAAAATGAACGGGATTTCCCGGTATATTTCGCATTTTATCCTGTTACTTAGAAACGCAAAAATATGAAATATATCTCAAGCGCTTACTATATCCGATGTCCACATTTTACAAATTTTTACAATAGTTTTGCGCATAAGTGCAAGAAAAGGATAGATATACTACATAAAAAGAATTCAATTTTGCAAATGCATTGATGCATAAGTATGCGAAGATTGGTATCATCAATCGATCTTCTCCTCTCGAAGTTTTTGTATGTAGTTCCGATACGAGAGATATTTATGATGCAAAGTCGCGTTCAAAGACAAGCGAGACGTCGCGCATGCGTAGAGTGGAACTTTTTATATCAGGTGTAGTAAAAAGAAATCCATTATTTTTCCAATAGATGGCTTTAGTTATCTGTATCTCGCGTTGTATAAGTCCGATCGGGTTCTACTAGATGGCGTTAGAAAGATGAGATTTCGTACTAAAAAAACTTTTGTGACAGTTTTATGATTAGTTGACTCAGTTTTGTTTGAGCGCGCGTCAAAGATGGACACTAGCAAAGAGAAAATACGCTATATTTTACAGTTTTTCTTCGATAAAGGCGAAAACGCAAGCCAGGCGGCTGAAAATGTGAATAGTGTTTATGGTCCTGATACTGTAACAGCCAATCACACGCAATTTTGGTTTCGTCGATTCCGTTCCGGTAATTTCGATGTCAAAGATGCACCACGCACTGGAAGGCCAATTGTCAAAAATATCGATAAAATCATGGACATTGTCGAGTCCGACCGTCATGTAAGCACTGTTTCGATTGCCCAAGAGCTAAAGATTACACAAAAAACCGTTTGGAACCATTTGAATAAGGCTGGATACAAAAAGAAGCTCGATGTATGGGTGCCACACGAGTTAACGAAAAAAAACCTCATGGACCGAATTTCCATCTGCGAATCGCTGCTGAATCGCAACAAAATCGACCCATTTCTGAAGCGGTTGGTCACTGGTGATGAAAAGTGGATCACTTACGACAACGTCAAGCGAAAACGGTCGTGGTCGAATCGCGGTGAGCCGGCGGAAACGATGGCCAAGCCAGGATTGACGGCCAGGAAGGTTTTGCTGTGTGTTTGGTGGGATTGGCAGGGAATTATCTACTATGAGCTGCTCCCCTACGGCAAAACTCTTAACTCGGAACTGTACTGTCAACAATTGGACCGTCTGAAGGAAGCAATCGCCCAGAAGCGGCCAGCTTTGGCCAATAGGAGAGGAATTGTGTTCCATCAGGACAACGCCAGGCCACACACATCGATAGTGACTCGCCAGAAGCTCCGGGAGCTTGGTTGGGAGGTTCTTATGCATCCACCTTATAGTCCGGACCTGGCACCAAGTGATTACCATCTGTTCCTGTCCATGGCGAACAATTTTGCTGGTGAAAAATTCGCTTCAAGAGAGGCTTGTGAAAATCGACTGTCTCAATTTTTTGCCAATAGGGACGAGGGTTTCTATGAGAAAGGCATAATGAAATTACCTTCAAAATGGCAACAAGCTATCGAACAAAACGGCGCATATTTGACCTAAATCGGATCATTCTAACTATGGTAATTAAAGCCTTCAATTTCATGCAAAAATAATGGATTTCTTTTTACTACACCTGATATTATTCCTTGCTACCTCACTCATTTACTCACGATATTATTACTTCGTTTACTAGCTCACGATCATAACCTTTTAACACCTTGCATATGAATCTTGAAGCACTTAATCCAGAAGAAGCACATAACTAATAATGCATAAATGAATATTGCATATGGATAATGAGCGTTACGTGAGAAACGGACGTCTTAACCTTTTTGGCACGAATATCAATTAACGTCAACGGTATTTATTCTAATCTTATACTTCGAGCACTAGAACTTTCGTCTGGCTTGAGGCATCTGTAATAACAAAATATGAATAAAGTAACTCGACTGCGTATATGTATAATGATGAGAATTACATAAGATACTTTAATATTTTAATCTTCTTGATATGAATATCAATTAAAAATTATCGCTGATGTCATTCTGTTTCCTCGAGCATTAGAAAAATTTTCTTCGATCTTGCAGCATCCATACGCGCGCAATGCAACGAATATGAATGACCATGGCACTCTATTATCGCAAAATTAACTTTTAAGTAACGAAAATAATAGGATTTCGTTTGTAGTTTGCATATTAGTAACAATAATATCATTCGTAGCTTCGATTATAAAAAAATTTGGAAATTTGAAAAAATAATCTGTATTTCTCTCTTGAGGTAAAAAAGATTTTCCAATAATACATATCGAGATAGAATCATCTGTAGTTGTTCGTAGTGCTTCTCGTTCCGCACGCAGTCATACGTTTAATTTTCGGCCGTGTTTAAATTGTTGTAACTTTTAAACGATGCGACTACAAATGAAATGAACAGACCAACCAACAACTACAAACAATTTTGAATCGAAATGTACTATCGAAATCTTTTTAAAACAAGGTGCTGGCCATTTTTCCAAATCTCTGTATTTCTTACGGTTGATACTACAAACGAAATTGTTGTCACTACCAACGATCGCAACCGAGAATCTATCATTTTCCGCATTCAAAAACTAATTTTACAAAAGGCGAGTGCCAGCTTAGTAATAAGATTAGAGTGAGATCGTTTCGTTATAAGGTAAAACTTAGAATTTTTGTGCTGAGCATCTCGTTCCGGGATGTAGAAACGTACGTTAAAAACATGTTCAATAATTTGACAGCTGTTAGTTTTATTAACTGATAGTCTAGTTAATTGATTAACAGGAAAGTATTTTTATTTGAGGATTTTGTTCGATAATTACTGTTTACGAATTCATTGATACAGAACATTTGTACTGGAAGTAATCGTAACGAAAATCAAGAGACGCTAATGAAACCAGAGCTCGACTCGAATATAACGAAGTCGACACTCGCCGTTTATTGTTCCACGTCGTCTCATGGCGTTATTACGCGCGACATCCTTGGAAGTTAATAGTTACTTGGCAACTACGATTCTCGTTTTTACTAAGAATATTCTGAGGGGAGTATTAGCGACGCGACCTACTCGAGTGGATCTTAGGGAGGCCATAATTTTGATGAGGGTAAGCATAGACACGCGGGTCGTGATGGAAGGTAAGGGCCGTGAGCGGGCTAAAAATTTGATGAAGCCCGCAGGACTTCGTCGACCTCTCGGAAGTACTCGGCTTAAATAGATGGCATAGTTTCCATTCTTCCCGAAAGACGAGGTCTCGCTCCACGCTCCCACCCATCACAACGGTCGAGGATGGATAAACGGGCTTTGGAAATCTCTCTTTTGCGCGTACTTGAGCGGAAGACGATGTTTCCAGCTACGATGAAGTAGGTAAGTGCTCGTGCGATATTAATGAATATCAAGATACCGCGTACAGTAGACATGAGAATTTGTCAACGTACAAGTAGTACTTATATAAATATAATATAATATTTATAATTATGATAGAGGGTTCATACACCATGAGGGTTCACACGTTCGTTCAACGATGGATAATTTTGGTTTATGGTGATTGATATGTATTTATAATTATTATATGTATTATGTCACAAATATTTTGTGTGTGTGTACATGTGCGCGCGCGCGTGTGTTATATTAATTTAAATATATTTTCGTTTTACATAATTTTATTATTTTTTTGTTCTTTCCATTCTTTTATATTTATTAAAAAGAAAAAACTGTTTCGAGAAATGTTTCATGAAATGAAATCATTATTAACTTATTTGATTTTTCCGCTTTATATTTTCTATACTTTCTATACTGTATATTTTCACTATACAGTCACGGGAATAAAGGTTATCGAATTTATCGTTCCTAAAGTTTCACAATGAAATTGCGTAACCAAATGTATGCAATTGATTTGGCTTATAAATATCGCCGAGGTTCTGCTGGATAGATTAGTCGTATTTAAGATCGTAACCATTGACGTTGTGTTTGTTAAGTAAGAAACAGGCACTGTGACATTGAATTTAGTTTTTGCACCATGAGTTTGGTTAGATTTTACAATAGATTTGTGTTAGAACCAGGTGAGTACAGTAAAATTATGTATTTTATTTAATTTTTTATTTTATTTATTATTTTATATTATATTATATTTTATATTATATTATATTATATTACATTATATTTTATGTTATTATTTTTTTGTTTTATTTAATTTTGTGAAATTTTTCATATACGATGCTTCGTAGCTCCTGTTCTCGTTTTCGCTTTCGAAAAAGTTTACATAATAACAATATTTTAGTGACTATATATATCTTTCTTTTCTCTTTCTATTTTTGTATGTGACATGACGTGATTCGTATATAGTGAAAAATCTTGTAAAATTCGTGAATTTTACGTGTTGTAAAATACAGTGAAAAATCTCTATTAAAAGTATAATATAGCAATATATATAGCGTAAAATTATTTGGCATAACAGCATATTTTGCGTCGTATATCTGCAAGATCTAAAAATATAGATGTTGTATCAACTTCTTGTAATACGAAAATATGATTCGAAATTTTTAATAATGTAGTTAGATTCAAAGCAGAAACTGAAAGATCGAGTACATTTCTAGAATGTTTAAATAACACGAATTTACTTTTCAAGTCATTATTCAGCAAAGTGAATGCAACATTCGTTAAAAATACAAATAGTTCAACGTGCCGAATTTATTAATCTTCTCGGTTGCCATTCTTTATGCAAATGATTATTAAAAATACTGCTAAAATAATACAATATGATATACCTTAATAAAAAGTTACTCGACTGTTCAGAACAATTACGTTAAACAAGTATTTTCCTAGTATAGATTACTTATTCTCTCTTTATTTAAAAAATTATGCTCTAAATTATATTATTTTTTGCAGATCCAATAACTAAAGAATGGCCGATGGTATCCATGTGGTATTCATTTTTCATTAGTCTTGGATATTTGTACTTTATTTATATCGCTGGTCCTCGCTTCATGAAAAATAGGCCACCGTATAAACTAAAAGGCTTTATAATGTTTTATAATATAATACAAATTCTAGCAAATGCTTGGGCTATAAAGGAATACATACGTGCCGGTTGGTTCACGAAATATGGTTTCAAATGCTGGAAACCAGATTTCGATAGTCCCAATGCACAAATGGTATGTTTTCATATTGTATAATACATATTGTTGATATTGATCAATTGTATTCCCTGCGAGAACAAATAAGAGCATTGGGTATGCTAACTGTAATATGACGTTTATACTTTTTAGATATTTAACATTTCCTGGTGGTTGTTACTATTAAAAATATTTGACTACGTTGAAACCTGTGTGTTCGTGTTGAGAAAAAAACAAAAGCAGATCTCCGTTTTACACGTATACCATCATATATCAGTTGTTATGTTTGCTACGATATTCATGAGATATGTTCCGGATTCAAGAGCTTCGTTTATTTCTTTGATAAACTGTTTCGTGCATGTCGTAATGTACACGTACTACTTCTGCGCTGCATGCGGCCCGAAGATTCAGCGAATAGTCAACCCCTTCAAACAATACTTAACTACTATACAAATGGTATGTTATATTATGTTACATGTAAGAATGAATTTTGTCCTTGACATTAATTAATCATTCAATCGAAGATATATTTTAGTCTGCTCGACGTATATTATATTATTTTATTTATTTACATTTTCTTTGTTTTTGGTATTAGGTGCAGTTTTTTGTGATATTGGTGTACATGTCGCAAGCTTTATTTCCTTTTTGTGAAGTGCCAAAGGGAATCGAAATATTACCGTACTTTACGATTAATTTATTAATATATATATTTTTATTTTATGATTTCTATAGGAAAACTTATACTAAAACGACTAAGCAAAAAAATTAATTGCTAAGCAATTTTGTTTATCAATTTAAATATTTAAGCGCATTTTAAATAAATGTGTGCGTGCGTGCGTGTCGGTGTGTATAAGTGACAAAATTTTACACATTTTCCGTCTTATAATACTTACTAATATATTAATACATGTGTGCAACGATAAGTAGTAAAAAAGAAACAAAATTATTATCTGTATATTATACAATATAAATGTTATTTTTGTGCACACATGTGATGTATACTGTACAAATGCAGTTTGCACGTTGCTCTGTTTAGTTTGTTTATATTTAAGTAACCAAAAAATTGTTTTAGTGATATTGACTCACATGCTCTCCTACACGAGTAGTGCCGTATTTTGTACAAAACTGATATCAGGGAGATAAATTAAGTAAAAATAATTCTTGTAAAAATAGTAATATTGGAAAATTATATCAAATAAAAGTAAACCAATTATGTGTTGAAAATAATTAATATTTTTGAAATAAACTGAGAAAGTCAACCTAGCACAGACCCAGATATATTGTCGAATTAATAGCGGAAAAAAGATTATGTCAATTTAGTTTTACAAAATTACATGTAGGAATGATTATTCATAATCGTTCCTACATGTGCAGATACAACAATTGGGATAATATTTCTTAATCAGTATTATGTATAGGACCCGTAAAAAGTAATAATAATCCAAGGAATGAAACACACGTGTACAAGTTGTTCTTATTCTCTTTTAATACACACAATTTCCTTTTTGTTCACACGTCCACACCGATCTTTTGTTTATTCCATATTGTTTTTTTATTTTATTCGGCTTTTTGTCGCCCGGCAACCGAGAGGCATATAGAGCAATAGCCGAACATCGGCCGTTGCTGATAACCGTAGGGCCTTACATATGTTAGATCCGATGTATCATAATCGAAAGAGATAGTAAACGCGATTTCTTTCTTTTGTATCTAAAATATTGTATAGATAAGAATGCAAGTTATTTGTATATATATATACGAGGGGAAAGACAATGTGCTGCTATTCGTTGTTTTATCTCGCCGGACCTACGTCTCGCTGCACGCCGCCAACAGTTGCTAGGTCGAGTGGGCCGCGCTGTGGTCCGAGTAGCTCCAACACTTCTCCAATCATCTATGTCGGTACGCTCCCATTCCTCAGATTTCTGTCATTAATAACTCGATAATTATTGCGAATCTCGCAAAACGGTATGGGACTTTTATGTTTATCTTAATCCAATCTACCTTCACATTTCGGGTTGTAAACTTATAACCCCCCACCCTGTATATATATATAATACGATATATATACATATAACATGCATGCGATCGCATATCGTATTGTGTGATACGTTGCGTATCACATGTTAATAATGCTAACATTGACGATGATCTGAGATGCTAATATTGCATATTATTTCAGAGGTTTTTCACAATTGCTCACATAATAAAATTTGAACACACATGATTATGTTACTGGGATAAAATTGATTTACAATGAATAATGTTTATAAACATTGTAAAAGCTCCAAGTCAAATATATCGTACAAATCGTCATTATACTTCTGCATTATTCTTCCTTGCTGCTGCCCGCTGAATATCTCAGCATCGTTCTGCGGAGACTCGCGCACAGAGCGTACCATCAGCCGATAAAATATACTTCAACATTCGCGTATCTGTATTTTACATTCGTGCGTTATGACAATTCCACTTGAAAATGAGCGCTAACATATGTCTGACTTTGCACCATTTCATCCACCATGATCTCTTACCGTATAATCTCGTATCTCTCATCATCATTTGACATCACACGCGACGTTTTGTAGCGAAGAAGCGAAGATGATCGTGGCAGATTTCACGATCTGTCGTGTTCGTGTCATAATCAACAATATTGACTTTGATATTTATGGATTGTTGTAACGGTAGGAGTGGAAATTTTAGAGAACGCACACATTATCGAATGATTTAATTCCTTCCGTATGTAAATTTAATTTCACGACAGTCTCGCATTATCGTACTACTTGTTGTTACGAAGCTGTTGTTATTATAATATAATTATTATAACATATATGACTACATCATACTTAATCATATCATTATTATGTAATTATGTCATTACATTCAATTTCTACCGCGTTTTATAAACGTCTTTCTCTTTTTTCTGTTTCAGGTAAGTACAATGAGTATCTGCTTCAACGAATAACGATTTTGGTGAATCGTGCGATAATCGTTAGTGCGATAATTTTGTCTACAACGTGAAAATGTGTAAACGTAAGTACACCGCGTTGTTGTGGGAGTAATTTCTTGATGTGTGATTTTATTTTTATCCTTCGACAATATATCAAGGACTGAGCACTCATAACAAATACGCGTTTTTCTTTGGATCTAGACTACAACATATTCAGAGCGCATCCATATCGAGAGGAAACGCTACTGTGTGTTTTCTTGTAAATGAACCGATGTATTAACAATATATAATTATAGCTTTTTTTTGTCTTGATATAATTATATGGGATGTTTGGGATCTTTTGGGAACGAAAAGTTGTGAAGATTAATCAGATCAAACTGAGAAGAAGAGTCATGTGTCATTTTGTAAAAATTGCAATAGTTATCAAATTATTAAATTTGATTGAAAAAGATTGAAAATGACCACATTTAAAGGCTCTTTTAATTGATAATTTGAAAATTTGCGTACTATTTGCAAAATGGTAAAGGACTTTTTTCTCGTTGCTATCTCTTTATATTTATAAAAAAAATCACAATTCGATTTCTTTTTATTCCGTTTTGTTATCATCGAAGTTAAACGCAATGCCATACATTGTAAAATAGCCACTCGTTGTTTAAAGTTTAATTCATTTGATTCTTTACCGTTCCACTTTTTCCACCGTCAAATCCAATGCAATGTCACTTGTCTGACATCTTAATCACGATATTGATTACGAAGTTGTGTAAAGAAGTGTATGCGATTGAGACTTGACCTTATAATTGCTGGAGTGCTTTTTGTAAGCAAGAATATCATGCTTGGAAGCGTAATTGTTGAGATCGGATTAATCAAGTAAGAAATAAATGTGATATTAAGTCGGAAGGAAATTTTGTTTGCATATTTCACTGGCTAAGCAAATTAAATAGATTACATAAGTAAATGAACATGTGTGCGTATGTGTGCGCGCGTTAGTGTGTCTAACGATACGTATAACAATGTTCAGGAAGACATTTAACTGTTTAATTTAATTCAACCTACCTGTTGTCCCTTCTTCATTATATTTATGTTAATATAATATTATGTAATAATATTATTATGTAGTATATTCCCTAAATATTATACGAGATAAACATACTTTTTTTTAATACATATTACGCCATATAAATTTATTTTATACAATGCTTTGAAGGTATTAATCGTTATACAATCAGTATAAATCATTCAAGTTTAGTCGAAACTTTAGATTTCCGCCTCCTCACGATAAGCTAAACCGTAAGCGAAACGGAGAATTGGTCGCAAAAATCGCCGAGAACAGAAGCTACCGCGATTCGGGGAAAGGAATGCGATAAAGGTGACCACTCAGTAGAAATTGACACATACTCGAAGCAATTCAACGATAACAATGACAATGATATTTATTCTCGTGTAATAATCGTAACAAAGTAAAGCGTAAGCGAACAAAGCCGTAAAGCAAAAGGCACAGGCGCGAGCAAAGCAGGGTCTCTCTTGATGTCCGAGAAAAATGTGTCCTTCAATCCTCGTGGCTGCTCTTAAATCTCCCTTTTCGAATAGTCCTCGCAGACTTCTCATTGGTTCACGTCGATGCTGATGAGCCTCCAGTTAAAGGCAATGAGTCGTCATATTATTCGCGACATAAATATCGATATGTTGTCAAAATACATGCTAATCCTAGACTCGCGAACAATAGCTAACATATTAAAATAATAGCTTCGGTCGCCAAGCCTCTTTGTTCGAGATTCTGTTTATGTTCCTTGAATCTACCGGTCCTACCTAATATTCCGCGGTCTAGACGGAGTTTTATCCGTTAACTGTTTACACAAGTAATATTGATAAAGTCTTATCGTAGTTTTCGTTTCATTAAGAATGCTCGATAACGTGGCTAAAACGTGGTAAAAATTGCAAATCGATTTTATATCCGAGATAATTAATGCTTTGTTATTTGAGCGCGTATACGATCGTTTGCTCTATTTACGTGCACATAACAATGTATCTAGCATCCGTTATTTATATTATCAAATTATTTATATTTGACATTAGTCGCACACAAATATTTCATAAATAGTTGATTTTCGTACGGTACGTTCGTCAATTTCATCTCTAAATAGAACAGTGCGAGATCAAATTTTCCAACAATAAATTATATCTTTACGCCTATTTCGAATTACTTATAATGTATACACAAATAAATTATTTATATATCTATTGTTTTTTTTCCTTTGTATTAAAGTAACATTTTATCGAGAATTAGCGCAGTATTACAATATTGTAATTATGCTGGAATTGTAATAATGTAATATATATGAATGTATACACCATATACCATATTATTTTTACAAAAATGTAACTTCTCTTCGCATCTACCTGTATTGCTCTGTTACACATTATTATACAGGTGTCTTAAAAATACCGGAACCCCCGGATAACTTTGCAGGATCAAGTTTTCATGAAAAACTTTAAATACAAAAGTTGTAGAAAATCGAGTAACGGACTTGATGGTAACCTTGAATTTGACCTTGGCCATGACCTTCAAGGTCATTTGGAGGTCAACTTACGTTTTTAAATGGGAATCCTTAATTTTTATTGCACTGTTTTTTTTCTATCAATTAATTTGAACAACTTTTGTCTAAAACGTTTTTTTATTTGCCTGATATTCTTTTAGATATTTGAGGAAAACCTGATAACTTTTTCAATATTTAACTTCGATATCTCGCTAACTATTTGTCGGAAGAAAAAGTGGTAATAGACTTTCTTGCTTTATGTAATCTCAAGAATATATTGTTACAATAGCGTCTTGACTTTTGGAAATTTCAAAATCATCAAGTTAACAAAAATCAAGGCACTATTGTAACAATATATTAAGACTTGAGACTAAATGAAGCAGAAAAGTCTAGTATCACTTTTTCTTCCGACAAATAGTTAGCGAGATATCGTAAGTTAAATATTGAGAAAGTTGTCTAGTTTTCCTCAAATCTAAAAAAATATTATCTAAAAATATTATCTAAAAAAATATTAGGCAAATAAAAAAATGTTTTAGACAAAAGTTGTTCAAATTAATTGGTAGAAAAAAAACAGTGCAATAAAAATTAAGGATTCCCATTTAAAAACGTAAGTTGACCTCCAAATGACCTTAAAGGTCATGGCCAAGGTCAAATTCAAGGTTACCACCAAGTCCATTATTCGATTTTCTACAACTTTTGTATTTAAAGTTTTTCATGAAAACTTGATCTTGCAAAGTTATCCGGGGGTTCCGGTATTTTTAAGACACCCTGTATGTTTAACCAAATTGTTATACAACCAAATCTTTCATCCATACCTAAAAAATGAAGGAGATTCATGTCGCACTTTTATTCTGTGGTAGACGCCTTGTATTTCTTTCTTATTTTGTTACTTCGCTTTTGTAATGTATGTTCTTTGATAAAACTTATAGAACAGACACAAATTTATTGTTACATTTAGAATGAATATATATCCTAAGTTCCTCACGGACTTACAGTCCGACAAACTCGACTGCGCTGCGTACGCTATCAGAATGCAGAACTGCACCTACGAGTTTATGGACCTAGGTTAGGTATTTATGGATCAAAGAAAGAACTGAGATGGAATCTCGATCGGAGGACGGTAACGTTAGATTTTTAGACAATTGCGCAAATCAAACGTAATTTAAAACGTAAACTAAAACACCTCTCTACTTACCATCTGAATTATTGTTATGTAACGTTTGCATGGCGCGATGATCATCCGAATGCGCGGCCCGAAGGACGAAAATAAGTAATAATTATACATGATGAAGTGCACGCTGCAATTGAGCAATGGTACGAGCGTGATTATTTCATTGGCTGTGTACTTCATGAATATGCATATGATTATTACAGTCGACACATGATGGTATATGTGTAACACCGAGATTTGCTCGTTCTTCTTTCTCAGTACAAATAACACCGTCTCTGTGAGATCCAATATTTTCAGCAGTAGAGTCCACCATAGAATCACAGTTATCTGCAATCAGAGACGATGAATGTTAAAACGCTCGGAAACGATGTTCCATGTCGGGCTGTATGGGAGCACAGTGCGTCTTTAGACTTTCATTGATTGACGTCATTCATTGACATTCATTGACGTCATAAGTACACACGAAAGTACGACATTGCGACGGCCGTAACTTTAGCTTCGCGGCTTACAGCGTTCATCTCACTTCCGGTGGACTGATCCGAAGTCCAAAAATTAATATGTCGTGTATGTAGATATTTCTTTTTTAACGGTACAACAAATAAGCCTCGTTTAATACGAAATATCGAGATCCGCTATGTATATGCCGTAATGCTGCGATTATACCGTTTATATTTTGTCGGTATCGTATGTGCTACCAATCGTATTTTATCACATGATGTTTACACATGTTTTATATAACGATGTAAATATGTAAAAATGTATTCTACGTACCTTGTACTTATGCGGCTCATAGGAATAACGTAAAGCCGAGCATGTTAGCGGTATTGTGATCAGCCATTCTACAGTTATATATTCTCGCACTAACCAAGCATTTGCTACGATTTGTAACAAATTGTAGAATTTGATAAATGTTCTCAGGTCATAGGGCGGCTTGTCTTTCATATATCGAGGGCCCCAATAAAAAACGGTGTATAAGTAAACAAACATTATAAGCGGAATTTGATATGACGAGCCGATTAGCAACCAATCTCTTGATCGTGGATCTGAAAGCCAAGAGATGCCTTAATCTCTTATATAATCGTAATAATATGTCTCACTTTTATAGCGTTCAGAAAGTGAACAGCATTTCCTATCGCGCTCAATTCGCGGCGCATCGTGAAAGAAATGCTGAGCGTTACCGTTAGCGGTATTAATACTACTTTACTTTAAATTTTACTTAATAATATTAATACTTATTTACCAGCTTTTTCAGTCCAGTAATAATAGAATGTCTCGAATAAGCCCATTGCGTTAGAGTGCGTTCCTACTGATAGTCTCGCAAGTGACAGATACACTGCGATTTCGCCTCAGTTTTGATTCTTGCTACCGTGCTGCCGTGTTTCAATATGACAACGTAACGAGGAAATGTGAACTATTAGTTTATGCATCGAATCGATCTACTGCCATACTTAAATCACCTACCAAGAAGTTAACCTTTGGATCTTATCCGGTTGAAGTGATTTTGCGCTTTTTACAAATACATATTTATAACAGGAATGGCTGGTGCTTTTTGGGGCCTGACGTTAATACTTAATTACGTCTATTAAGCTGGCACAGCCCTTTCAGCACAATCGCATGGGACTAGCACAGAAATTTATTGCCCTTTTGTTGCTAATTTGTTGCTCTATTCCCGATTTTGTTGCTCCAGCATTTCGAAAAAAAACAGGGCTGCTAGCTTACACATTAAATTAGCACAGCCCTCGAAAAAAAAAATAAAAAAAAAAAACGAAACATATTTTTAAACTACGATTTTGTTGCTATTGTTGCTCTATTCCGATTTGTTGCTCCAGCATTCGAGAAAAAACAGTGCGGATTATAGAGTGTATAGCTACAAAGTAATACCCAAAATTTTTTTTTTTTTTTTTTTTTTTTTTTTTTTTTTTTTTTTTTTTTTTTTTTTTTTTTTTTTTTTTTTTTTTTTTTTTTTTTTTCGAGTAGTTTACTCTTGTAGCCAGCACACACTTATGGGTTCTTGGGTATTGTTTAAACACATACCGCGAGCAACAAATTTAAAACTGGGATATCTTAAGAGCAACAAAATCAGACAACATATTAAGATCGAAATTGGATGAGCAACAAAATTTTTTCGGGTAGTTTACTCTTGTAGCTAGTACACGTCTATAGGTCCCCGACACTGTTTTTTTCTCGAAATGGCTGGAGCAACAAAATCGGGAATAGAGCAACAAATTAGCAACAAAATCGTAGTTTAAAAATATGTGTTCGTTTTTCGTTTTTTATTTTTTTTTTTTCGAGGGGCTGTGCTAACTTTAATGTTAAGCTAGCACAGCCCCTGTTTTTTCTCGAAATGGCTGGAGCAACAAAATCGAGAATAGAGCAACAAATTAGTAACAAAAGAGGACTAAATTTCTATGCTAGTCCCATGCGATTGTGCTGAAAGAGCTGTGCCAGCTTAATAGACGTTACTTAATTGCTTCTACTCTTGCTACCGTACTGCCGTGCTTCAATATGACACGAGGAAGTAAAAACTATTCTGTTAGTTTATGCATCGAATCGATTTAATGTTGTACTTAAATCACCTAACAAGAAGTTAACCTTCGGATTTTATCCGGTTGAAATGATATTGCGCTTTTTACAGATATTTAAGGCAAGAATGGTTGATATAGCAGGCTGGTGATGTTTGGGGCCTGACGTTAATATTTAATTGCTTCCCCTAAATTGCTTACGATAATATTGAAATACATGATGTATGCACGCAAGCGATTATATATAATATAATAAAATATAAATATAATGAATATTTACAAAAAATAAGAAGTAAAATATATAGTCTTCTGTAAAATATATAGTACGTTATAAAAATAAAATACAATAAAAATAAATTTTATATAAGCGTGCGGATCAGGATCACGCGTATAATGTTTGCAATATCACTCTATCGCTACCAGTCGATATTTATCATTTAATCGTGTTTTCCGTTAATGTAAGATTTTCCACATTTTTGCGGTTCCTCATCAATCTTCATGGTTTATTCTGTTTCTTTTATGAAAAGAAAGACAAGATGAGTGTCAAATCGTACGTTCATCGTACGATTTAACACCTATAAGTTGAATATTCAATTTTCTCGAATTTTTTTCCACTATGCGAAATCAAGTTAAGGTAAATTGAGATTTTCTCTCTCGTGACCTGTCGGTATACATATACACTATTAGCGAAGCGTTATCGACGAAAATTTCGCAAGTAAGTCTAAAATACCGCTCCCACCACTACCTCGACTTCCGTGCCGAGTTTGACGTTACCTGTCAATTATATATAACCGACGCACGTCACAGCTATCAAAGGATTCGCTGATCTAGTCTAATCCTGAAACTAAGGGAAACTGGATCTTAGAGAGTATTCGGAATTTTAATTCATCTTTCCTCGAGTTTTCGCGTCTTTCTTAGTAAATAAAATTGGTACACTTTTATGAAATTGAATAAGAAGAATCATATCAGGTGTAATAAAAAGAAATCCATTATTTTTCCAATAGATGGCTTTAGTTATCTGTATCTCGCGTTGTATAAATCCGATCGGGTTCTACTAGATGGCGTTAGAAAGATGAGATTTCGTACTAAAAAAACTTTTCTGACAGTTTTATGATTAGTTGACTCAGTTTTGTTTGAGCGCGCGTCAAAGATGGACACTAGCAAAGAGAAAATACGCTATATTTTACAGTTTTTCTTCGATAAAGGCGAAAACGCAAGCCAGGCGGCTGAAAATGTGAATAGTGTTTATGGTCCTGATACTGTAACAGCCAATCACACGCAATTTTGGTTTCGTCGATTCCGTTCCGGTAATTTCGATGTCAAAGATGCACCACGCACTGGAAGGCCAATTGTCGAAAATATCGATAAAATCATGGACATTGTCGAGTCCGACCGTCATGTAAGCACTGTTTCGATTGCCCAAGAGCTAAAGATTGCACAAAAAACCGTTTGGAACCATTTGAATAAGGCTGGATACAAAAAGAAGCTCGATGTATGGGTGCCACACGAGTTAACGAAAAAAAACCTCATGGACCGAATTTCCATCTGCGAATCGCTGCTGAATCGCAACAAAATCGACCCATTTCTGAAGCGGTTGGTCACTGGTGATGAAAAGTGGATCACTTACGACAACGTCAAGCGAAAACGGTCGTGGTCGAATCGCGGTGAGCCGGCGGAAACGGTGGCCAAGCCAGGATTGACGGCCAGGAAGATTTTGCTGTGTGTTTGGTGGGATTGGCAGAGAATTATCTACTATGAGCTGCTCCCCTACGGCAAAACTCTTAGCTCGGAACTGTACTGTCAACAATTGGACCGTCTGAAGGAAGCAATCGCCCAGAAGCGGCCAGCTTTGGCCAATAGGAGAGGAATTGTGTTCCATCAGGACAACGCCAGGCCACACACGTCGATAGTGACTCGCCAGAAGCTCCGGGAGCTTGGTTGGGAGGTTCTTGTGCATCCACCTTATAGTCCGGACCTGGCACCAAGTGATTACCATCTGTTCCTGTCCATGGCGAACAATTTTGCTGGTGAAAAGTTCGCTTCAAGAGAGGCTTGTGAAAATCGACTGTCTCAATTTTTTACCAATAGGGACGAGGGCTTCTATGAGATTAAGTTTTTGCCTTTGATAGACCCTTCCTTTTATTTAGAAGTCGACATTGCTTTAAAAGAAGAGTCTAACCGACAACGACACCGCGATGTCGTCATTGAAATTTGAATTATTCATTCCGATCATCGCGCCAGAACCGCTTGATCTTACAAGGAGATGACGCAACCTGTTTCATCGATTTCAACACGAATCATAGCACACTCGATAGCTATAAACGCCCTAACATAATATGCGTGAATGCGTCTTTGTTTACGAGTAATTTGCAGTTAAAGTTTGGCTCGCGGAGCCGTGTCACACATAGGGCGCAAGTTACGACACTCTTTCACGAAGCCGGCGTGGCTGAGCAGACAGAGGCTCCTGCGCCGTGAACACTTTTGCGCCGACGACGGCGTTCGAGTCCCGCCGACGACTGGTTCGTTTTTTTTTCGTATGTAAAGACATGTAATAAATATTTTTATATTGTTCTTATGTATAATTCCTTTTTTTGTTTCTACGCTATTAATGAAGGCTAATTAGGAGAGTCAGGTCTTTCAAATATGAACACAACTTTTTTATTAATTACAATAAAATGTTTTTGTCCGTATCAAAACACATACACACACACACATAAGACAAATATAAGGCACACAAATCAAAGTTACGTATTATAAAATGTGGTCATGCTGTCGCAACTCTGCGGATGGAATGCCGTATAAAAGCATGTAAAATATAATAGTTTTTTGCACCAACTGCACGTAATGAACGCATAATTTTTTGCACAAATACACTTTTGACTATGTATAGTTGGTGGAAAACATATTTGATTGACGTTGTAAAATACCTCGCGACTGTCAACAAGACTGGACGGAAATTGTATCAGGACATCTGCAAATATGAATTCAATATAATTGATATTGTATACAAGGCCAATAACACGTTTGGCACGGCTTCGCGAGCCAAACTGCAAATTACTCGTAAATAAAAACGCATTCACGCATATTATGTTAGGGTGTTTATACACGGCATCGTAGCTATCGAGTGTGCTATAACTCGTGTTGAAATCGATGAAACAGGTTGCGTCATCTCCTTGTTAGCTCTAAATAGAGTTGAAAAGCAAAACTTTTTAATAAAACGAAATAAAAATATTTACTTTATAGAATAAAATATTTACTTTATAAAAAGAAAAATATTTACTTTATAGAATAAGAAGGAAAACTCAAAAATTTGTTAAATATCGAGTATATGTATACATTTTAAATATTTAATTTTGTAAAATGGATATATCTGTAACGTGTTCCTTATGTTCTTATTAATTCTAAAGTAATATCAAAAGCAGAAAAAATATTTGGGAAAACGGGAAATGTCAAATGGGATCCGTTTGAGTTTCTCATATAAAATCGCTCTTGTTTGGAATATTATATTTCCAACTTGTTTCTCTGGTCAATTTCTCAACCATATATATTTTTATATCTGCAACTATACATTTTATGCGTATACATGGTAGTTTTTCATTAAGATTATTAATAATATTAATATTAAGACAATACACAGAGTCTGTCTTGTGCTTTACATTTCACAATCTACTGAATTTTCTTGATTGACTTTGTGTATGATTTTTTATAAAAATTATAGAACAAAAAAAAATTTACCAATATGTTTTGGATAAATATTATGGCGGTTATATGAGGCACAACATTGCAATAAGAGATAAAGTTCTGCGATACGTACAAAACAATGAAACAGAATTGTACCTGTAACATAGAAAGAAAATAATTATGAAACTGAACGAACTTACGGTGAAGTTCGATTTTAATTATGCTTTCTTGTCCGGATGGATATATGTAGTCGCGCTCCGTCGCGCTTCCCCAACAGAATATTTAAAACAAAGAATAAACGTGTCTTGTCGACCAACACGCGCACATCTCGTTGCCTTGACGACTCCGTCAACAACGCCGTAGCTCGCGCCAGCGCCATCATTATTTAAACATTGCCAAATCTGATGAAGGGAACGGGAGGGTGGGAGTGTCCATCCGGACGAGAAAGCATAATTAAAATCGAACTTCACCGTAAGTTCGTTCAATTTCCTAATTATGCAAGTTCTCGTCCGGATGAATATATGTAGATGTTTAACCCGTAGATTTGGAAGAAGAGCACAGTAAAGATAGACAAGAAGACTGTGCTGGGACCGTTAGCAGACAAATTATGTAGAAAAAAGTGAGAGTTATGCAATTGAAACTTTACGTAGTAAGAATGGTGGATTAGAAAAGATAATCCGAAACACTCGGTCTATTATAAAAACGAGCAAAAACATCGGAGGATTTACTCCAACCGGCCGTACGACGAATCTCGTCTATATTAATGCCTCTGCTGGCGGCAAGCGAAGTAGAGGCATGGCGAGTAAAATGCGCCGAAAAATTGAAACGTCTATACCTGACGCTTCCAGTACGGACTTCACCCACCGACCTAATGTCTGAGAAGAGACCGAGGAATAAGGTTTACAATATGAAATAAAAAACGCGTCATCATTAAGGCGACGAAGGTCCGCGGTAAGCTCCAGATAAAGATGTATAAGAGAAAAAAGACAGAGTTCCGGTTTCTCTAAGAAAGGTTTAAAAACGAGCATAGGCTGAGGGCGTCCAGTCCCTGAAGTTTTAAGACGCGCAGGGATGCGAATGATTACAGAATCCGCGATAACAAGGATGAAAGGTAGTCGATACCTGGAGGGTGCTTGTAAGATCTCCGGGTCAGAGGTAATATCATGCCACCTGGAGAGAAAAATTGTCAGCCTATCGGCTCCAAGTACCTGAGTATCCGCTAACGTCTCCTCGATCGAGATCGGGAGCGCACTGCTGTCCGACGAATGTAATTCGATGCCCCTGCTTCCCGCGTCGTCGAGGCTTGTAGATGCGCAGGCTCGGAAGTTTCCCGACTTGTAGATAGAAGCCGAGCGTAGTGGCTGCTTCATGACTGTTGTACTCGATTAGCGAGGACTAGTGGCGTGCGGACGAAGTCCTTGCTCGAACGCTCCAAGGAAGAAGCTTTCTTCGGTTCCTCGCTAAAAGCCGTACCGGAAAGGAGATCGTCTGGAAGGAGAGAGTCCGCTGTGTTCTTGACGAGCAGATTAAAAGTAGGTAAAATTTGGGCATGCCGGGACAGCGAAAGATGATAAAAAGGATCGGCTAAGATCTTTGCTCCCTCCGTGATCTTCAGTACTGCAGCGCGTGCAGCAGGGACCAGCGAACCCTGCAACTCAGGTTGGAGTAGGTCCGAAATTGCTGCTCCGAGAGCATACAAGGTCATACCAACCTGATTCTGGTCTCTGCTGAAATATTCATCTCTCTTGATAAAAGAATTGCTCCGCAATCCTGATCGAAGCTCCGGATTCAGCTTCGGAGCAGAGAGAAAACTGAAGGGTTCCGAGGGGGAATATTTTTTGAGCAGGAGGTCACGCTGCTCAGCGGGGAGGCCCTTGCTTATAAGGTCGCGCCATGAATCAAGAACATGATTATTCTATTGCGGCACCTCTACTTTATCAAGCTCCGCAGCGAAACAACTCTCTAGTGAGAGCATCGTCGGATAGAAAAAACAAGCGATTGCGATTCTATTCAGAGCCTTTTTGCCGTTTTTTCACCTCTATCAAGGCATTATATTAACCCTCCAAATCAGTGAATTATCTCTTTTTTTTTCTTACTTAATTATAATTTCGATCTTACTTAATTACAATTGCCGTCGGGAGGGAAATCTCATTCTTCTCTTTGTTTCTTCTCTGGATCCTTTTCTCCTTCCTCATGTGAGGATCCTTTTCTCCTTCCACAATGTGGTACACACTCCATTACACAACATATGCGCTACCGACCGTTTGTTATAAACATGTATAATTTTATACCGATTATGCGAACCTACTGTATGGAACCTCGTTCCAGCGATACTCTGTTAACATCGTTTTAAATTTGCTCTCGAATCAATTCCAATAAAATGAACTGTAAATTTTTTATTTAATTTATATTAATTTTATTCTATGATTTAAATCAGGTTCCCTTCCTTTCTAATTCATACCCCCGACTCCAACTATCAACTCGCGGCATCGGAAGGCGTAACCTCCGGGATAAGAAGATGACATTACCTCTCTTTGGCGAATCTGCACACCGACGGAGTTATTCGACGGCTGCGAAAGGTTGTGTCGATTTTTCCGCCTATATTCTCCAAATATAGGTCCAGAAAGCACGTACACACCTGGGTGTCTCGCTGGACTGGCAGGGTGCCTTCCTGACTTGCAGGCGCTGCCACGCAAGAGACATCCGGGACAGGGTCTACCGGGATGAACTCAGTCTCCGGCACCAAAAAATTATCCGACCGTGGTTCAGCGGGTAATTCTGGAGACGTCGGACGACTCGGCGATGAGGACAGAGACGACGGAACAAGGGAACGCCGGGACGTCTTGTCCTCTTTGCGCTCTCTAGTACGTCGATTAGGCACACTAGCTTGTCCTCAAGGCTCGCTAAACGATCCCGGGAAGGAGAACTCTTATGCCTCTTAGATTTATGAGAAGATTCACCCACATTCAAAAAGACGAACTACACGACACCACTCGAAACGGTCCAGAGCCTGTTGAGGGAAGGAGCAACAGAAACACAATGACGGCGCTGGCGCGAGCAGCGGCGTTGTTGACGGAGTCGTCAAGGCAACGAGATGTGCGCGTGTTGGTCGACAAGACGCGTTTATTCTTTGTTTTAAATATTCTGTTGGGGAAGCGCGACGGAGCGCGACTACATATATCCATCCGGACGAGAACTTGCATAATTCATAATGTGCCATTATCTCCGAATTTAATAGATGTTCGCTGGTGGTATATGCGCTTGAATCGCGTCGAATTCACGTCTTTGAGAATTGACGAACGCATCACAAAACTGTCAACGCAAAAGAAATCATACGCGTTGTGGAGAGATATTGACGGATGGGACAAACGTACCATTTGCATTATAGTTATCCATGGTTTCATAGGCGCAATCATTTTTTGAGTGTCCGGTCCACACGACGCTAGGAAGTAGTAGATATACATGACCGAATGTACGAAGCTGTTAATTATGCAGATAAGTATCATAGGAGCAGTGCAGTAATATCTTATGCCGAGCCATGCAATGATTGCGGTGGACACGTGATGGTACACATGCAAGACGGACACTTGATTATTCTTCTTCCTCAGCACGAATATGACCGTCTCGACGTAATCCAGTAGCTTCAACAAGAAATAGCCCCACGCGCATCTAATAAGCTGCAATGAGATTATTCAGACGTTATCTCGTGATGTATTAACAGTGTTTTCATCCTCGAAAAGTAGGGACACATGCGAGTCGTAAGAGCCGCGTGACCGCGAGACATTTCGTTGGAGTTTACCGCAATGCGCGTTCGATCGCAAACTAGTGAGAACGTACTGATGGAAAATGTGCGTACTATTGGCGAGATATCTTCCCTTTCCTCTTGCGCGACTTGCGCTTTGTTCTATCGGTAAGCTTTTGAAACGTTTTGTCAGTGATTGTTATCTCAATGCAAAAATACGACACAGACGTGTCCTTTCGAAGAGAAGCGCGTACACCGCGTCATACTGCGAGCAACAGCTACGAAAAGCTGATGGCACACATTTTTCCGAGAGACGTTTAATATGTGCATCGTTACCTTCGTTGTAACGGGATTCCTGGTATAGTCCATTTCTACGGGACAAAAGAGTTTTCTTATGACAATGCCTGCGTTTACAAAGCTGTACACCAACCACATGTTCGCCACAAACTGCACGATATTATACAGCTTTATGAATGTCTTCAACGAGTATGGCGGTCTGTTCTTCATGTACCGAGGCCCACAGACGAGCACAAAGTACATGTATGCGAATATTATGAGTGGCAACTGATACGTGGAATTTATTATCGGCATGTAGAGCAGTCGTGGATCTGCAAAGCGTATCGATAATATTCTACAAACAGGTTGCGCCCGAAAGTCCCGCGGACCTTCATTAATCACATTCCGAATTCATATACGTCACAGTCGCATGTCTTGCGAATTTTCGCCACGCTATAATACAAGTAACACTCACCGAGACTGTCCGTCCAATAATAGAAAATATTCTGCAAGAACTCCATGGTGAACAACTGCGCTGTTGGTAATCTTCTTTGTACTATAATATCAGCTTGTATACTGAATATATATAAACAAAATGCCAACAACGTCTAGTACGATCGATAACAGAATGACAAGAAAAAAATTATACTGCGTTTATATCAACCGTTATGCAATCGTCTGCTTCGAATCGTTTCTAGAATAGGATATTAACATCTACTTTAACTTTCGTTCTACTTTAAATTGCACATTCATATTGTTACGTCCTGTGGACTCCGGGCAATTTAAAAAACTTTTTTTTCCTCTCGAACTTCTATTCTCTTAATATAATGGACATAAGAAACAGACGCATCTGGTGAACAGCCGCCCGCGTCAAATCAAAAGCGATCCGGAAAAATTTAATAACAGGAAACAGTGTTCTGTTCTGCAAAAATCTAGGCTAGAATTATATCTGGGAATGTTCGCCAAATGTGTCCGACGCTTTAGTTATAAAATTTGAAACTCTGCGCTAACAAATCTCCGGTAAAACGAAGCAACACGAAGAATTCCTGCTCTAAAACCTTGAAACCTTGAAACCTACATCCTTCTTGAAACTCAAGAGGGTTTCGAGTTGGTTGCTAAATAACCCGTCATCATCTCTTCACCGGTCGTTATAAAATTTTATCTCAACCTAAGCTTTACTACATCCTGACTCTTCCGGCTGATCAAAACATATGGTTCGCACTTGTATGTACCTCCCCACCTTTTAAAATCTTCTTGCGTTTTACCTCACAAGAACCTACCATCACTGCACTTTTCATGCCTAATTTATTCGGCCAATCACGACATCCGCCCAAAACTATGAGACACATCCACTCTTCACCCCTTATTCCATCTATCACCTAAAGATTCATGTCTTCAAGAACTAACCATCTCCTTCCACTAGATCTTCTTAACTTCACCCTTAATTTCTAATCGCTAAGACTTTTTCCCATTAAGGTCGACCAGGACCAATAATTAGAAATACTAATCAGATCGTCGACACCATTAGGCTCTTCTCAGGATTTCACCCTATCTCCAAGGCCCATCTCTTTCTTTGACAGGTCCATCTTGGTGGGTCCTGCCTCCGATCATCTGTATAAGAATTTCGACGATTCGCCTCCGGACACATCTTTTCCACAGTTTTTCCTCAGCAGCTTTTTTTCAGTTTTTTTCTACGATCCTTTACTTTTTTCGTCATTGAGTAACTATTCCGCGCAACATAACTTGTGCGCAATTTACGCTTGAACAAACCGTGAACAACTCAGCAAAACGCAGCAGCGTAAGAAGTCAACTTCCTACATAGAGGCCTGTTTGGACGACCAATTCTTCTATTCAGGGCCTTTTTGCCGTTTTTTCACCTCTATCAAGGCATTATATTAACCCTCCAAATCAGTGAATTATCTCTTTTTTTTTCTTACTTAATTATAATTTCGATCTTACTTAATTACAATTGCCGTCGGGAGGGAAATCTCATTCTTCTCTTTGTTTCTTCTCTGGATCCTTTTCTCCTTCCTCACCATGTGAGGATCCTTTTCTCCTTCCACAATGTGGTACACACTCCGTTACACAACATATGCGCTACCGACCGTTTGTTATAAACATGTATAATTTTATACCGATTATGCGAACCTACTGTATGGAACCTCGTTCCAGCGATACTCTGTTAACATCGTTTTAAATTTGCTCTCGAATCAATTCCAATAAAATGAACTGTAAATTTTTTATTTAATTTATATTAATTTTATTCTATGATTTAAATCAGGTTCCCTTCCTTTCTAATTCATACCCCCGACTCCAACTATCAACTCGCGGTTCAGTCAGGTAAAGAGATTTAGTTCTCTGACCTAAAAGTGGATCACCCGCCGTACGTCGCGATCGGAATAAACGGATCCCTCTGGTCCCTGACCTGTATGGCGCATACGCAAGTACGTGCGAGACTCGTAAGCGCGAGTACACGTTGCGCTCCTCCTCCAGGACGTAACATACACATGCAATATAATGTCATAGTTTTATCGCGTTTTATCGTTGGCTTTGTAAATATGACAGTGACAATAACTGACTTCTAACACATCTTTCTTTTACTAACGTAGCAGTTTGTAAGTGCGACCTTTCAGGGAATGATTATTAGCAGACGGTAATAAAAATTATTCTGTTTGCAAACAAGAAAGCTATTTTAATCTTCCATCTTTTGCAACTTTCCAGTTACAAAACCGTAGCGATGTTTCCGTCATTTTTCGGTAAGATGTATATTAAATCTCTGGATTCCCCGATGTTATATACGTGCCGCGGTAAATTTAAAAATTTATTTATGTATGTATTAGCATCGTGTAACTTACTTGTCTCTCCTCTGTTAGTATTTATTTATTAGAGTACCGTTTCTTGTGGTACGTATAAAATATTCCTCATCCGCTTTTATTTATGGCATATAAATTAACCATAATATGTTGTTGCGCACGTTTACATTGAATTATGCTCCTGTGGAAATTAACGATATTATTCACTGGATTTGAATATAAAGTGCACTTTTAGACATCAGACATGGCAACTGTCAGATTGTCATCAAGGGAAAATTTGTCGACGTTAAACGCAACTATTTGTTGCGGAATAACTACTTACTTTTCGTTGCAGCTGCCGTGTATTGCGGACTCTATACAAACTTGTTCGTCCAACGATAGTTTCACATCAAAGTATACGATTACATCTCAAAAGTAAAAAAAGGAAGAAAAAAAGGAAAAATTGCGTCGTCCTATTTGCAGAATTAGAAGAAACCGATGTCTACGATGTTCAATGTGGATAATCACACTATTGCTCATACGAATAATCTAAACTTTGAATCGTGAGGTATCGAAACTCTATCGCTAATTTCGAGGCTCTAGTGCGCGAGAACCTTCCGCCGGATTTTTCTTTTTGCAGTAATCTTAAGTAACTCATATGTAATCAAACCAAAGTGGACGCACGAATGTGTTGCGCGTATCTATGCGTGTCAACGTGTATGCGTATGCGTAAAACTAATTGTACGTTCTATTTCCAAAATATGCTAAAACTATGTGAGACATAATTTATATTCATATTTGCTATATGCCAACTTACCGTCAGATCTGGCGAGTTACCTTCTCATATAACCTTCCATGCAGGTATTTGGAAATGGACAGAGTGCCAGGAGCAACGGTAATGTTCCCGGTAGTTGCCGCGAATATTCAGCGACGGCGTTCACAATAACGGTAGTTTTTGTCACAGTAACGGTCACAGTAACGGTAGCGCCGGCGCAGTAATACCCTACTACCGTTATTGTGAATGTAGCGCGTTTTATTCGTCCATCCATGGACACATGAGTAGGGAGACCAGCTAATAAAGCGGTAACACATATGCATATGTAGGGGAGACTTGCTATCATTGGACCGGCTCCTCCGATGACCCACCTCCATTATTTTGTAATTGAGCGCTATCTATTGACTGTTTAGTGTACTACATGAAGCTTGAAAATCGTCACTTGACTGTGAGTTGATTCACGCACAAACAAGGCTCCTATACAAGAAAATTTTTGTACTTTTCTTCTAATTTATTGGGTGAGTGCAAAAGTTCGTGCGGAGTTTGTGAGTAAAAGTCACACAGTGATTAGGCAAACAAAAATCTTTATTCAATCAATGATATATTCTCCATCGTTTTCTATAATCTTTTCCCAACGTTCTGGCAGCATACGGATGCCTCGATCATAAAAACTGCGCGGTTTAGATTCGAAGAACGAAGAGACGCCGTTTTTTAAGGCCTCCAAAGAGTCAAAGTTTTTTCCATTTAAATAATTTTGCAATGACCGGAACAAGTGATAGTCAGATGGTGCGATATCAGGAGAATACGGTGGATGCGTTAAGACATCCCATTTCAGGCTCTTCAGTTTGCGCAGCGTCTTTTTCGAAACGTGTGGTCTGGCGTTGTGATGAAAGACGACTCCCTTGCGATTTGACAAAATCGGACGTTTCTCTTTTATTTCTCGATTCAGATTGGTTAATTGGCGACAGTACTTGTCCGAATCAATCGTTTCGCCAGCGGGGAGAAGCTCGAAATAGATTATGCCCTTGCAATCCCACCAAACAGAGAGCATCACCTTCATCGGGTGCAAACTGGCCTTTGGCATTGCGTCACCATGCTCACTGATTGTTTCCATGTCCGTTTGCGCTGAACATTGTTGTAGAGGACCCATTTCTCATCGCCCGTCACTAGTCGATCCAAAAACGACTCGTTATTGAGCCGCCCGAGTAAAGAAACGGCAGCAGAAATTCGCTTGATTTTGTTCTTCTCGGTCAGCAAATGGGGCACCCATATATCGAGCTTCAAATCGAATCCCATCTTTTTTAAACGCCGAAAAGCGGTTGATCGGTCAACGTTTAGTGCTGTAGCAACTTCTTCTGTTGAAATTCGCGGATTATTGAGCACTAAAGTACGCAAAACATCGTCATCAATGTCAGAAGGTCGACCAGAGCGTGGCTCGTCTTCAAGGTTAAATTCTCCGCGCCGAAATTTAGCAAACCATTTTTCCACAGTTCGTTTAGCTGGTGCTTCATCCTGATAAACATCCTGAATGTTTTTTACGGCTGCGGCAACGTTTATTCCCTTCCGAAACTCGTAAAGCATAACATGCCGTAAATGCACCTTATCGATACTCATTTTTGAAGTGATATTTCTCGAAGCAGTTTGTATGAAAACAAATGATTTTTTTTTTAATAATAGCTGAAGACGTCACCTTTCCAACGTTATATAATATGTAGATGGAAGTATTAATGACAACACTTTACGACGCTTATAACTCCATCTATTGAAACTCCGCACGAACTTTTGCACTCACTCAATATCAGTGTCAACAAAATATGGATATCAGTGAGATGTTAATAGTGTTTTAGTTATTCTTGATAATATTTAAAACTGTATTCAATCAGCGTTATTTAGCCATATTAAGATTGAAAGTTCACTTTGTTATAACCGAAGTCACGGACGTATTACAACTATCGTCTACTAATTGCCTTCAATGAGCCAGCCCGAGTTGCTATGAATGAGCTGGTGGGGCCCAACCATGGAAACCATATCGAGCCTAATATTTCTTCGACTTCTTCGAGTTGTACAATAAAATGTCGTTGTATCTGATTTAGTAAAAGCCTATCACGAGTAATTAAATCGATAATTAGATAATGATCTCATTTTCTTTATTATAAAAATAATTATATTAATCTAATTTTAATCTAAATCGGAATATCCCTCATTCGTGTGTAAAATGAATATTCTATCGAAATTATCATAATGATAGAAGACAGTCAATGCTAAACTTTCGTCGCCGCCGTCAGCAAATAACAATTCCAACGAGGATTCATGCTATCTGTTGTGATGTCTTCAAGGAAGACATGATTCGATGTCTGTCATGTAAACAGTGGGTTCACGAGAAGTGTGCTGGTGTTAGAAAGGGGGATCAAAGTGTATTACTGCGAAAGTGCAACTGAACTCAGCGAGAATGAATACTTAAAAATTTTGTCTTGTCTCTTTTTTAAGACTGTACAACAATTTTTTCGTTTTGTGACAACTATTGTATTTGTTTGATGCAGTAATTTGTGTAAGATTAATAATATTAGTAATAATTTAATTATTTTGTGCGATTTTAAAGTTTTCAAGATATGGTTATTGTTCTTTTTATACAATTTATAAATTATCCTCAAATTCTCATTTCCATTTAAATTATTTATAATAAACAAAATTCAATGTTATTTCGTAGATTTTCGCATTATTTTATAGTTACAAAACAGTGAACAAAAATTCTACTCCTGATTTTAAAGTAGCATTTAATGATTCCGTGTGAATAATGCCTAGCTATCATTAACATGTTTCAATGTGTTTTTACTATGGTCTGTGTTGGGTTCTAATCAGCTTTTTATATTTACGAATCATGCTCAAAATAGTTTTAAATAATTTATTGGCTTGTATTAAGGTGATATTGTATTAAGTTGATATTGTATTAAAAAAATAAAATAGCAACCGGCATAGAAACTCCTCGGCCCAATGAAGGCAACCGGTTTCCTTCATTGGGCCAACGACACTTATTTTTATTTTTTCAATATTTACTTAACATTTATAATACATTTCATAATTGTAACGGCTATTTCTAGATATGTGTAGTATGAAAAGTAATATTTACATTAACGTGCACAAAACTGTAAAATTGACAAATTTAACGATTTTATGGAGCGTTTTGTTTAAGTGGCCCATCGATGGCAACCTTACCCTACATATATACATATTTACACACACACACACACACACACACATTTATACATGATATTATAAAATGATTATGTGCGACAATCAAAGAAAACGGTCAGCATTGCCTTAATTTTCAACGGACTTTGACGTAGTTCTTTGGTTTTTGCCTCATTTTCGCAGCGCCACTCCGAAGATTGTTGACTGGTTCCGTTATCATATTCATAAACCCACGTCTCGTCATCAGTGGAACGATGGAATTACGTGCAAGCTCGTGCAATTATAAATATAAGATTGTGGAGAAAACTTGCGTATCTTGACACGCGACAGAAGTGTAAACGCACGATCATTCCGCCCCGCCAGTGGACGCCGGCAAACATTTCGTACGCACAACTTGCCACTTGCAGGATGGTTATGAACAGCTTAATCGGGTTAATGACTTTCTGTACGGCTGGTCCGAATGTGGCGAGCAAGTAGTAAGTGTACATTATGACGTGTACAGAGCAATTGAGCGGAGTGATGAACGTCGACATCCCGCCAGCGACGTACTTCCTGTAAATCCGGACAAACACTTCACCGGACATGTGGTGGTCGTGGCGGAGGCAAGCGCGGGAAGAAAATCTGATGTGTTCCTTCCAGAGCGCATTTACGGTTGCTTCGACGAGATTAGCTAATTTCGGGAGCAATAGCTACCGCACATGGTCGCGCAGTGCCAACTGCAAGATTCTCATTTGAGTCCCTTGCGATTTCACGCTGTGTCATGTAGCTTTCGAACATATTGTTCGTTGGGTGTGTTTCTCTATCTTTGTATCTAACGAACCTATTTGATCGTAAAAGCGATACTCGACTGTCATCATTCGATATTGCACACCGTGACTTTCTAACCTGCCTTTAATTAATGTACATTTTATTGATTCAGACCTCTTGACTCCATTAGCAGGAAGTGACGATAAACGAAAACGATACTTGAAAGTTGGTTATGCATGCTGCTGATATTCTTCAATGCCGTTTAATAATGAGGAAAGAAGGAAACGTCTCGACACATCCGCTATGCTTTAAGAATATATTTTTGCGGTGTCATAACGCATTAAAAGAAAAATTCGTCAGTTATTATTAAGATCGCCCGATATAAATTCGTTGAGTAGTTGAGGACAAAAATATGGGTATTTCTTTTCATGTGTTATGTGTTATGCCATGTGAGTGTTATGAAATTATCATCGTTACATCGTTCGTTTTTTTTATGCTTCTTTCTTTACCTCTTCCTTTCCCTCTTTCGAATGTCAATGGGAAAAATATCGATTTATCGCTAGCAGTAATTCTTTTTCGTTAGTAACGAATTCGCTACACTCGACGACGCACTTGTTGCAACAAAATGTAGTTGGCGATTTAGCACGAATCGTGAAAGTAGCACAGTCGGTATTATTGTAAGTTGTACGGGCGGTAAGTGCAAAAAGATTGAAATTTGAAATCGATTTTGCGTTATGCATAATCGCTTCATGGCAAATTGAAACCCCACCCCCTATTGAATTGCAACATTTATACAATGCAACGTTTTAATATATTTTCAATCTCATATAAATTACGTGAAAAATAATAAATCTATTTATGATTAAATTATTGAAATTCCCTGAAGCGTAATGTTGCACCGGGCTGTTTGTTGAAATTTCGAAACTACTTACACGTACACGCGCATATTTATTATTATGGAAATACGCAAGCCGATCGATATTGAATAATCGACCACTTAAACGTTCAATCTTACGCAACCATCAGCCTGTTTACGTGCGTGTGCATCTCTTGTCGCAAGGATAAAAATATGAAAGTACTGCGGAATTACTATTAAACGGCATTAACTTAAAATGACGAATTCCGTGCAGATCAAGTTGATGTCAATTTACATTAATAAATTTACAACGAGATGGAAATCTATATGCGTGAGAGACGAAACGACATTATGTAAATAAACAATAAAATTTGCATCATGTATCATCATTAACTCTGGGGATAAAGAAAAAAAAAGAAACATTGATTGAACAATACATTACTTGCAAAAAGTTATACAGAATCAACGACCTTGCAAACAGGTTGACCTTTTACATAATATAATATATTCCAACGCGTTGCATTATACGTTATATTATAAATAGCATACAGTACAGCGGAATGATAAATGTCGTGACATTGACGTACTTCGTGCAGCAGCGGACAATTGAGACGCGCACACACCATGATACGAATGCAAGAAAACTATCTGCTTCCTTCCGCTCTACTTTCTCC